TAGGAAGTGGGACACTACTGTTTGGATAGAGCTGAATGCTATTTCTGGCCGGGTGGCACTGCACGCGTTGTATCTGTCGGGCAGTGTGGAAAGGAAGGGGCCTTCAGGGCTGCCTGACGTCTGTGCGAGCTGTGCGCTGTGCAGCTCCAGTGGCGCCTTCCACACCGAGGGTGTCAGCCTGCATGGCCTCGAAGGGCGGTCCCAGGGCGGCAGCCACTTGAGCTGTGTGATCTTGAGCAAGCTGTCGAACCTCTCTGAGCCTCAGGTTTCCCATCTGTAAAATGTAGGAGGCATTAATAACTATCCTGCAAGTAGTTTAAAGAGATTAAATGCGATGATATATCTGGTGACTGATCAAGTGTTTAATGCCTGCTGTGGCAATGAAGGCAGTGCTTGCTCAAAAACCTGAGCCCAGACACCGCCTTCCCCCGGGGCACCGTCTGGTGTTTGGAAGGAGCAGTAGCTTCTCAATTTCAAAATATCTCCCACCTGGACATTCATTCGAATGCAATCAACTTCTCTTTTTTGGAGGCAAAGATGCTTAGGTGCTTTAATTTAGTGAATACGAAAAAACTTTAACGATGAGAAAGAAAGAGGAATGAGACGAGGTGACACTAGCCGTAGGCTTGTGTGATTCTTCACTCTCTGAGCTCTGGCTGCCCAGAGATCTGCCTAGGACTACGGGACTAGTGGTCTTCAATGGGGGCACCCCCCTGCTAGGGGACATTTGGCAGGATCCGGCCCAAATGCCAGCAACACCACGCTGGAGAAAGGCTGCCCGAGGGCTTGCGCCCTGCCCACTGGCTTGAGTGCAAGTGAGCCTACAGAGCAGCACCGTCTGGTTTCTGGAATTTGTAAGAAGATCAGAGAAATCCCAGAATAAATGGTAGTGTCGGGGATTTTTATTTTTCAGATTCGCGTGGCATGAAAGGATGACAGATTCAGGAGGGCCGCAGAGGCGTGCACCGTGTTTTGTGTCTACGTTGCTTTCCCAGAAGGTTCCTGAGAAGTCAGACATCATGCTCCGCTGCATAATATCGGGTAACCATCCCTAGACTAGCTAATCACCCTCTAACATCTCCCTGCAGACCAGGTTTCTTGGCTCGCAAATGCATTATTAAGACATCATTTGGGAAAATTACCTTGGAAATTTTTTCAGAGCAATTGATGAAGCAACTAAATCCTCTATGATTTGTTTCTAAAGGATTTCTTCCAGTGACTCCTGGGGACCGTTTAGCGATCTCCACTCCACGTTGCGGTTCTGGGCTAGGCTACTCTCACACTGGTTACTTTTTCAGATACTCCACTCTTAATTTCCTGTAGCACATAGGAATGGCATGAATCACGTCACTTCAGTAAATATATTCAACTCTTCTTCTGTTACTCTTTAACTGATTTGCCAAAACTGGCTAAATTAGACTCCCCACTGCTTGCCTTCTACAGACATGCTAATAAGTAGCGAAAAGGTTAAAACTGAGGCAAAGGGTGCCCAGCGCAGAAAGAACAGGGGCCTGGAATCTCTCCTGGGCTGCAGAATAAATGACTCAGAGTTGATCAAGTGTTGGTATCTCCAATAATAAGAAGATTTATCATTAAAAGAAAATAGAAAAAAAATAATTGGGTATGGAAGTGGTATCTTGTACCTTGTGGGTGGTTCTCTTTTCTTTCTTGGGTCATGTCTCTACTCTTGAAAATGCAAAGGCACCAATGGTGTTTCTTGAGGGAAGACAGGAAACTCTTCTCTTGACTCCCTTTTTCTTTTTTTTTTTTTTGAGACAGAGTCTCACTTTTTTGCCCTGGCTAGAGTGAGTGCCATGGCGTCAGCCTAGCTCACAGCAACCTCACACTCCTGGGCTCAAGCGATCCTTCTGCCTCAGCCTCCCGAGTAGCTGGGACTACAGGCATGCGCCACCATGCCCGGATAGTTTTTTCTATATATTTTTAGTTGTCCGATTAATTTCTTTCTATTTTTAGTAGAGACGGGGTCTCGCTCTTGCTCAGGCTGGCTTCAAACTCCTGAGCTCAAACAATCCGCCCGCCTCGGCTTCCCAGAGAGCCAGGATTACAGGCGTGAGCCACCGCGCCCGGCCTTGACTCCCTTTTTCTTACAGAGAGATGGGCCAGCCTTGGAAGTGGCCACCTCCTCAAGGTGAAGTCATAACAAAGCCTTGTCTCCGGCCTAGAGGCTGCAGTGTGGAACCGTGCGCTGTATACACCGAGAGCTTTCTCTCTCCATGCTGGGTGATCGCCATTCAGACAGGTGAAGAGGTGCAGGTTGACCCTGAGTCTGCAGAGTAGAGCCCCCATGTGTTTGGACATAACCCTGAACTTGGCTGCTGGTCCCCACACACCTTAGCCAGAGACTTCTGAAACCTTCAGGAGGTGGCTATCCCTATGTGACCCACAGGTAGGTTCAAAAGAAACCAGGGGAGGATTTTCAGGTGAGGTTTCCAGCAAGTGCAGGGAGAAAAGAGAACCACCCACAGGTACAAGATACCACTTCCCTATGCAAGCATCATTTCTGGCTGATTGTTCAGATCTATACTGCATAGAGGGAAAAAACCCGTCAGCCACCAGGAGACTGGGGGAAACCAGCCAGCCCTGATCAGTCTGAAGTCCAAGAGCTCAGAATGAGTTCCCCAGGCCCGGCTCACACATATTTTATATACTTTCTTCAAAAAAGTCATGCACACACACAAAAAGGAGCAATTAAGTGCTTCCTAAAAAGGAATCTAATAAAACTGACTGAAAGGCGGACACAAGCCTGATAAGAACAGGCAGAAATGAATTGTAATCAGCAACCCCTTTGGTGGTTTTTCAGGGAAAACCATTTTTGGTGGTTGAGTCATTTGCCTGCAAGAGGCTCTGTCTGCCAAGCAGCCGCTGGAGAAGGATTTATCCTTGTGTGGGGGTCTGTCTTCTCCTAGCCCCAGGGACAACTACCCAGGCACCTACTGAAGGAGGAGGCAAGGAGAAAGAACCCAAAGTTTGCCAGAATCACATTCAGGTGGCATTGGCATAGAGGTGGCCCAGCTGGGAGACATAGAGAGGGAGGGACAAGGGACACTGAGCATTTCCAGGTCCCATCTGTGGTGCAGGTCTCACTGACTTTGTCTTATTCCCTCCCAATCCCTTCTGGCTTTCCTCTTCCTATGACCTTTGAATAACACGGAGTTTTTATCTTCGTGGTCTCTGGGGTTGCTTGTCAAAAATCAAGCGATAAATAAGACAGGACACAAGAACGTTCCTGGGATGAATTTAGAATGATGCATTGTTTCCAAATACTGGGCTTTCCTTTCCTTCCTGACACATTTTGATAAATTTTTAGTGACATGGAAGCTAATGAGAAAGCTCTTTGGGCATGGTGGTTCACACCTATAATCTCAGCACTTTGGGAGGCTGAGACAGGAGGATTGCTTGAGGCCAGGGGTTCAAGACTAGCCTTGGCAACATAGTGAGACTCTTGTCTCTACAAAAAATTTTTAAAAATTTAAAAATGTTAAAAAGAGAAAGTTCTTTGAAGCACACTGGAAACCTTCCTGTCCTGTAACAAGAGGGAAAAAGTCCCAAGAGGTAGATGAAATTCCTGGGGTTTTAGGGTTTTACCAGATTAGCCCAATGGCATCACATCCTGTTAATGGTCACCAGGGAAAGATGAACCCATCTGAGGGAGAAAGTGTAGGTCAGTTTTTGTGCTGACATTAGTCACACGTGCATAGTACCAGCCTGGGAAACCTATATCCAGACTTGTTCATCCTCAGGAAGAAAATGGCATTTGCTAATCTTCTTTGTTCTTTTCTCTTTTGTACCATAACTAACACACTCAACTTTGAGCACTGTTAAAGTATAATTTTCAAAAAAGGTAAACCGATTCCTTTGCAAATATGAAATGAACATTTCATAGATTTTATTCAACTTATTAGTTAAAGAGGAAACCAGAAAGTATTATGGTCTGAGGAGCTAGGTATTTATAGGCAATTTAATAAGGTAATGTTAGGATAAAATTGCTGGGTTAGATGTAACACCAGTTAATAACCTATAAGGCAATAAGCCATAACTTAAGATATTATCTTTTCTGCTAGATGGAAATTATTTGCATCTCTATTGGATAAAAACCTATAAGTTAACATATAACTTCACTACATCTGGGAATTTTAATCAGTAGTTACCATTGACTGAAACAAAGTATATGCCCCAAAATTATTCTTGGATGGGCCTTTTCCCCCATATGATGCTGAAAAAACATTCCATCCGTATCTTTGCCTTATTTCCAAGTATTGGATACTTTTTCTTAATAGTTCCTTGAGATTAGGAATAGCATTTTGCATTTTGTATTCACACTCCCCAGCACAGGACTGTCTTAGATACAGAATATGCTCAATAGTGTTTACTGAATAACACATTTGTATCAGTGAGGGGAAGGCTTTTCAGTTCCCCAACTGACGTAATCCATCATGTGCGTTCCTAATGCTTACTGCCCAATCTTGTTCATAGCTTTACAACTTTTTCCAAAAATACTTAAAGTAATAAGCTATTCTTATTTCTTTATCATCAGGTCAGCCCAAGCCAGAGGTAACTTGGTTTAAGAATGGTCAAGCCATAGATGAGTGTGGCATTGTTTCCTGTTACGAATTCTTTGAGAATCAGTATATTCATGTGTTACATCTCTCACGGTAAGTGGTTATGCCCCTGTGGACTGTTTACTAATATCCCCATATTCTGTCATGTGCTGGTTCTTATGAGGTAAGCCCAAAAGATTGGCTCCTGTTTGCTTTTGGAGTCCTAATTTTAGGTGCTATTGGCAGGCACCGGCCAAGGCATTCAGCAGTGACAAGTTACTGAGCAGTTACTGAGCTCTGCCCAGTAACTAATTATACTCCCCTAACTTGCTGCCGTGGATGGAGTTAAACTTTATCTGGAATCTTATTCAAGGTGATCCAGACATTCTCATTCATTAAACGAGCTTTTCATTTAGCCTTGTTCTCTGTAGAAAGGTAAGAAAGCACAAAAGGATCTTGGCATTGGCATGTCACCTTCCGAGAAGGGACTGACTCTGATCACACAGCAAATGGGTGACAGACTTAAGGCTAGAAACCATAGCTTCTGGCTTTATTTTAGGAAGTAGTGTGGTCCCATGCAGTGGTTTCTAATTCTCTTTTGTTCCCGCAAGAACTATTTGTTCCCATGGAATCAGGAAACTCAATACATCAAGTAGAGAAAATGTGAACCGCTCTGGTTGAAGCTGGGCAGGCAGTCTGTGCTCTTGGTCCCCAACACTAGTGAATTGGTCATGGTTTCTCGTGGGGGCTCTGAGGAGCGGGAAGCTTCTGCAGAACAAGGCATGAAGATGACTGATAGGCACGGGCATGTGCCGATAGCCTTACATCTGACAGTAAAAATATAAGACTTGTTGAATTCCAGCTCTGCCATTTTCTCTGTGGGAAACCTTAGCCAGTTATTTAACCTCTCTGAAACTCAATTTCTGCATCTGTAAAACAAAAAGTGACTGAGAAAATGAAAGGATTTAATGCCTGTAAAAGTTGTGTTACGTAGTGGTTGCCCAAGAAACACTGACTTTCTTATCTCCCATCTACCCCTTGGTTTTATAGCAATATCAGAGACCATTTTACCATGGTTGAAATGCTTGATTCATCTAACTGACAGCATATCTAGCCTGGCACTCAGGATATCTATTCATTCACCTAGCTTAGAATCCACCTCTAAGGTTCACAGTGATTCCAGTTACCCATGGATCTGTCTAGCCTCAAATATTCTCTTCTTTGATCTGATTACACAGGCATGCCTTTGGGTGCTTATTTATTGCTCAGGATTGATGAATAGTTCAGTAGACTGTGGGCCTTGCAGGAGGCAGGAGTCCTCTCTGTTTCACACAAATGCATCCCCCTAGAGCCTGGTACAGTGCCTGCAGCACAAATATTTGTTGGGGATAGACAGGTAGATCTATCCATCTATCTACCTATCTCTCTACCTAATCTATTATCTATCTATCTATCTATCTATCTATCTATCTATCTACCTATCTATCTATCTATTGTTGTTGTTAGTCTGTCTAGATCAGTGCTGGCAAACTTTTTCTATAAAGGGCCAGATAGTCAATATTTTAAACTCTGTAGGCCAGTTGCAAAATAGGCCACAACTATTCAACTCTGCCATAGATAATATGCTTTTTTTTAAAGAGTGTACTTGTGTACCAATAAAACTTTATTTATAAAAACAGGTGAGGAGCCAGATTTGTCCTATGGGCTATAGTTTGCTGACCCCGGTAAGATCCTTGAGGATCTACACATCGAACTTCTTTGTGTGTTTCCCACCCTTCCTTGTCTCCCTCTGAGCACTCAGTACATAATTCTTGATTGATTAATTTTAGTCTCACATTAAACCGGAATATTGTACTCATATTTTGGCCAGAAGAGATGCTTGATGTGTGCTCTTTTAAGAACTGAGATTTGCTGTTAATGTTTTACGTCGTGCAGGTCAAAGTGGGAAACACACAACATAGGGAGGAGAAACTTAGGAAGGGAAGCTGCACTGTGGAAGGGGCAGGGAGTCACTATTCTGTGCTCAGAGGTCCAGCAGGGCAGTGGTTCATGGTAAAAATTGACGACTTAATGTACCAGAATCCACTGCTTCCAAGCTCCTGGGGCTCCTGACCTGCCATTTAGAAAAGCAGCCCACCTACTGGGAAAAATATTCAGTTCTAACGCAAGAAGTGGTGGTAGAACAATTGGATAATAGACATGGTCCCATTTTGCTGCTTAGTAGTAAATATACTAGGTACTAATGATCTTTGAAACTTCTGACTTTTTACACCAGTAGTTCTGAACTGTGGCTGCCCATTAGCATTGCCTGGGGAGCGTTTAAAACCCACTAATGCTTGGGCTTCACCCTTGACCAAGTAGATCTAAATCCCAGGTGATTCTAATGTGTTGCCCAAGATGAAAAATGCTCTCATCTTAAACGTTCAACTGCAAAGTAATTTGACTTATACCAGTATGGTAAGCGCTGGTTAGGAAAATGAATGGTATTTTGTGCAAATGCCATGCAAAGATTAAAAGTTAGTTGCTAGTTAGAATATTAGTCTCAAGATTTTCTGCCACGTACCATAAACCACTGGATTAGCTCATAGCTGAAAGAAAAGTACTTTTCTTTATCTACCCTAGTTTGGTCTTTGGGTCATTAAATCTGAGTTCTTAGATATTTGAAAGCTCCTGTTTCCGTGTTTCCCAAAGGCTTTTTTGGTTTAACAAATCTAATCTGCAGTTGTGCTTTGAGGCTGAGAGCCCGACTGTTGTATTTATAGACCTTTTGATTTTCTATCTTTCTTCTACCCCGGAGTCCCCTCTCCCCTGTCCTCGCTGCACTCTCCTCCTCATACCACGCTAATCTCATGAACCCGGGCACTTCAGGCAAATGGGACAGCTTGGAAGGGACTTATCAGTGCTGTTGTAACCTTTACATCACCGCAGGTCAAGTGTGCTTGGCAGGAGAGAGAAATAGAAAGCAGAGAACGCATTCAAAGGGAGAGAGAACATCAATAATCACATTATGGTATGCAGCGTAGCTTGAAAAAGAGTTTTGTTTCTTTCTTTTCAAAGGATGTGGGAGCTGGGAGGGGGGAGGAAAATGCAAAGAGATGTTTTCTACCTCATAGTGAAAGCAAATTGCAACCATGTGTATACAAACGGGGAATTGTGGTCTCTTACAAACACAATTTAAAGAGAGGCGGCAAAGCAACAGATAAAAATCTGTCCAGGAACCCACACCTAGACAGATATATCCCCTCCTCAGCAAGGAGGCCTCCTTTGATGGTGGCAATCACGCTGCCGCGGTGCTGAGAGAGCAGGAGGGAGGTGAGGGGACACAGCAGGACAGCAAAGCCCAGCCAGCACCTGGGTGGACGAGGGCCAGGCAGCCCCTCTGGCTCTTTGGGCAGCACAGCCCGGCAGGGGCAGGCCCTGCAGAGCACCGGCCGGGAGAATGGCACGGTCGCCACAACCCATCTGCTTACAGAGTGTACACGGTTGAATAGTGTCACCCAAACCCATGTCCACCTGGAACCTCGGAATGCTACCTTATTTGAAAATAGGATTTTTGCAGGTATAATTAGTAAAGATGAGCTCCTACTGGATTAGAGTGGGCCCTAATTCAGTGATTGATATCCTCATAAAAAGAGAAAACAGACACAGAGACACACACAGAGGGAACATGCCGTGTGAAGACGGAGGCAGAGTTAGGGGTGATATGACTGCAAGCCAAGAAATGCCAAAGATTGCCGGCAACCACCAGAGGCTAGGAAGGGGCAAGGAAAGACCCCTCCCTCCAGCCTTTAGAGGGAGCATGACCTTGATGACACTTTGATTTTGGACTTCGAGCTGCCAGAACAGTGAAAGAATAAGCTTCAGTTGCTTTATGACACAGTTTGTGGTAGTTTATTGGCAGCCCTGGGAAACCAAAACATGGTGTACATGAGCAGTCTGGTAAAAGGAAGTGCTGCCATTTGCCTGCCATTGCACAGGTCTGGCCGGAGTTGTCTGATAATGTAGTACTGGTTCTAACGCACCAGCTGGTGCCTCTGGACCGTCTGGGAGGCGTCTACAGGTCAAGGGGCAAAGAATATTTTTCAATTCTGCCCCAAACTGGATATTGATTACTCCAGGATTTGAAGGAGAAATCAGTGGTTTTCTGGGTCATTTATGCTTTTGTCCCGAGGGGACATTCGGAAATGTCTGGAGACATTTTTGATGGTCATGACAGGAGAGGGTAGAGTGCTACTGATATCTAGTGGGGAGGAGCCAAAAATGCTGCTAAACATTGGGCAGGGCACAGGGCAGCCCCCCACAATAAGGAATGAGCCAATCTAAAATGTCAAGAGTGCTGAGGTTGAGAAACTGTAGCAAACCACCACGAAACTGAGGGCCTTCAAAGAGCAGCCATTTATCCTTCCTGGTGATTCTGTGGGCTGGCTGGGTGGTTCTCTGCTGGCTGTGCCTGGCTCCTTCATGCTCACTGAAGCCACTTGGGTCAGGTTGGGGATTAGCTGGTCTGGAAGGTACAATATGGCTTCCCTGACAGGCCCAGCAATTGGTGCTGCTGTTGCCTGGACCACTCAGCTCTCTTCCACCTGGGCTCTCATCCTCCAGTAGGCTGGAACTGGCTCCCTTAGAAGGCAGTCTCAGGACAGAATTCCAAGATTATGGAGCTGCAGGACCTCTTGAGCTCCACCCCTCCACCATTTCTGCCTCATGCTCCTGCCAAAGCAGTCATAAGGCCAACCCAGCTTTAAGAGGTAGGAAGATATGCCAGGAGCAGTGGCTCATGCCTGTAGTCCCAGTTATTATGGAGGCTGAAGTGGGAGGATCACTTGAGTCCAGGAGTTCGAGCCCAGCCTAGGCAACATAGTGAGACCTCCCATCTCCAATAAAAATAAATAAAATTAAGAAAAAAAAGAGGCAGGAAAATAGACTCCACCTCTTAAAGAGTGCAATGGCAAGGTCACATTGCAACAAGGCGTGCATACTCAGATAAGAGAAATTAAGGCCAGATTTTGTAATCTACTACACCCTCCATCCATTAATGGAATGCTCAATTAATCTTTTAAATCACCTGTTTGCAATTTTTTTTATCCTGCTCAAAAAAAACCATCTATGGCTTC